CTCTTCCTCATCTGTCAAGGTGTTCAAACATTCTGCTACCTGGCAGGGACGTGTCAGCGAGTTCAATCCATCACACAGCCTGCTCACCAGTGATCTGACAGATGCACTTGTAAAAGGTCCATCGCTTCATGTTTTTCAATCAATTCAAGTCCCAATCTCGGTTGTTTGTCCATCAAAGCTAAAGACTCCAGCCTGCTACATGGCTAACATCTTGAATCAAACACTCTTTCAGTCCTTGTTTGTTGATTATTCCAAGCCCATCTGTCATCTTTGACAGTGTACAGCAGCTCCTTTATGGTAACATGCGAGGATCGTGTTTATTGGTGTTGGTGCTTTAAATAATATTGAAGGCTTTCAGTTTGCAGATGGATCTAAAAAAAAATTAATGGTCGGCCCAAAAGGGCAGTTGGGACAGTGGTCAGTTGTAAAAGTTGCCCCACCTCTCGCACTCCCCAGCAGACACAGAAGAGGAGTAAAGTTTGCTGATGTTGGAACAAAGGTTATACCCTCTACACTGACGGCTGCACTGGGAGTAGTTAAAGTAAAACGACTGTTGGAGGTCAGTGGCCACCAGAGAGTGATGCATGGATCCCGGCCCAGAGATGGCTTTTCTCCACTGGTCAAGGTCAGAGCCAGATATCCTGGCCCGGGTACAACCACAGACATGAAGTGTGTGTGTTCACATTAGGCTCGACACAACTGTCTGTTTTTTATCCTTGTTGCCATTTACAGTGTGTGGCCAAGATTTCTTAAATGTCTTCCACATGTACTGACTGAAATAGATATTTAAGGCAAAAATCTAATTTGAACATGAATATTTATAAGATGTATTTCATAGTCACTGCTCATTAAAATTTTACTCTCCTTTTGGTACAAGAAGGGAAGCTGTCAAAATATTAATTAGGGTTGTGCAAACATGCATTTTTAAAAGATGGCGGATTATCAGCATTATCTGGTCGGTGCTGTGGAATAACTTTAAAGGGTTTTTTTTCTCTCTCTTTCTTTTTGATCATGTCTTGTCGCCCTGCTCTAGTGTAAAATTTCTGGATGGTGACATATTTTCTGCCTAACATACTGCAAGAGTCATGAAGGCTGCTTAAGCACTTAAGCTTAAAATGTGGGAATTAGGCAACATCCATGCTGTTATTCTTAAATTTATAAAGATTCCCCAGACATATTTTAAGACATATAAAAATACTATGGTCTGATATGTATTTTTTTTCACAAATATGTAAATAAAGTTACATAAAGTTCAATTTCTTAAAATTCATCTACTTTATGTTATTGAAAATCCAGAATTTATGTATATACAAATATTTTTTGTTTCATTACCAGACACAATGTCTCCTTCTTCCCTGAAAAGTCCATGCACACCTAAAACAGAGATTGAAGATGGCCACTGAGAAACTTTCCCCCATCAGCAGACACTTTTTTTAAGACATCATTCATAATGGCGGTTAAACCTCGATGTGAAGTAATAATTATTTATTATTTCTATTTATTATTATTAATATTAGGGGGAGTGTTATAGTATAGACTAATGTCCAATCTCAATATCCATTTCCATAAGCTGGAGATACTACAGCAGAGAGACTAAGGGGGTAAACCCAAATTTTAGCATTAAAAAACTAATGAATCTCAGGGGAAGCCTTTAAAGCCAACGACCTTATAATACAGCAAACAAACAAGGTGAAAGGATGAGTAGAGACACAAAACCCTGATGCTTCAGTGATCCGGTGTTCACGTGATGATTTTTCCTTTGTTACAGTGTTAGCACTAACTACTGAGCAACCATGATGCTGTAATGAAGGCAAGAAAAAATACTATGAAAAACTTCACAGTAATGCAGCCGTCATAAATGATCTACTGTGATTAGTGTGCAGACATTTCAGGGCACAGAGGGTGAGGTGAATTCCCCTCTGTGAAGTACAGTTAATATTCAACTTTCATGCCAAGCCGTTCTCATTTTTTAGCAACACGCGTGATGCAGCGTTTAAATCTCCTGCCTCGTGTTTGCTTCACTTTTCTCTCCCTTTTCCGGCTTTTTCTCTGGTTCCATTTGAAGGAATTGATTTTTTCTCTGCAGGTATTACTTCACCATTTTCAATTTCAAGTGAATTCTGCATTCACATTGTTGCATATAAATCCTCCATGGTTGGTGGTATAATGAAACACAACTCCTTCATTCCCCCTCGCTCCGTAGCAAGAAGAAAGAAGCTTAACAGAGTGGCAGCACATCATCATCACTCTATAGAGCTGATTAAACACATCTCCTCAAGCCTCGTCATAATTTGCCGCCTAACGAGGACTTCCTGCATAGTTATGGTGTTGCACCTAAAACACAGCTCAATGTAAACATGATTAATGGTGTGAAATACATATTTAGCCTACGTTTGAAGACAGAGGGAGGAAAAAATAAGATAGAGAGAGCACAGTGGATGATGGACCAACATGTGGTAATTAGTGGGTAAGGTAAACAGCCATTGGGGAAGCCAAAGGGCGGGTTCACAGCCTGTTAGTGGATGCTCTAATTCTGGCGTTGAGTATCCTGAGGGCTCATGGAGAGAGAGGCAAAGGAGGAAGTCATGAAATGCATCAAGTTCACTGAACAGCAGTGGGGTGTTCAGTCTTTTTCAGCTATATATTTGTGTATGTGTGTGAGAGAGAGAAAGAGAGAGTGAGACTACACTTTAACAGTTTTCTTCCATCAGTTGGCGACGACATGTTGCTTATACTCACAATTGATTGGTGGTTGGACTGTAACCTTGGCAACACATGCTGGAGGGGAAATTTCGTTTTTTCCGAACGGTTCAAAAAATGGGTTTGGAAAATAAAATGATAGTGGTTTAACTCATTGCATTCACCAGGTCATTTGACCTTCACATCCTTTTTATGTCAACATGATTTAAACAGCAAATTTTAAGAAAACATTGGAAAAAAATCAGTTGTGGAAAAAGATGATTTATCATCTGCAAAACTACTCAGAACTTGTCACGTTTGGTGTCAGAAAACTAAGGAGTGTGAAAAACAACAAAGCTCCTCACACATCATGGTTAATATATAAATCTGAATTTACTTTGAAAGAATGGTTTGAATTTGTGGGTTGTGATTTCATTCAAAGACAGCTGCAAGACATAAGGATTTTTAAAAAGAACAAAACGCTAAAGAAATATATAAAATGTTTTTTTTGCTTGTCTGATATAAACACTGTTACAAGCAGTGTCTGAATTGGATAAAAAAAGGTGCCAGTACCCTAATTCAGCACACGCATAACCCAAAACACATCATAACCCTATCATAATGCTGTAATTTAGTAAAATTATATACACTTTCTTTATTTCATCTTTGTGAGTTTGTATCATTTTGGACTTTATAGAAATGTGCCTCGAACAGTACATACAGTAGGCAAAATGTGTGCTATATTTATACAATAATACTATATTATTACAGTATAATTATGAATTATGATTGGTTTGTTGTTAAATCGAGCCTATAGGTTCCACTGTAATTACCAAAGAACATAATATATCTCTGTGGTGATGACATAGTTTGATTTGTGTTGAGCACAGTGGGCAGTGCCTGCTCTTCCTCTCTCCGCCTTCTCTCTTTGTTTCTCTCTCAGTCTCCTGATCTCATCCTGTACCTAACTAAAAGGGGTACCTTACTTTAACATGAATTTCAGCCTTTTACGCAGACTAAATTGGAAGAAAAGCATTTAAATTGCTGTTGAATGTTTATCAACCATTGACTATTAATGTTAGCAGGCTAGTTAGTTAACTAGTAAAGTGAAACTAACTATGCAGATCACCGGCATCATGATGGATGGCCACTGTTTAATGTAGACCACACGGACAGGAGCTGTTCATTAGTCTAGGGATGAACTACAAACAGTCTATTAGTAAAATACTCTAGTTTCCTGTTTACAGTGGGATTACGTTCAGTAATCTTGTTGTTATACAATATCTTTGAAGGATCAGAGTTATGTTACTTTTAGGAAACTATTTCACAACTTTTATCATAAACACCTTGTTCAGGTGTTCATCTGAAACACATTACAATTATATGGATGTGGAGGAGCAAGGGAGCACATTTTCTCATGTGATTAACTGAACATATGGACTGTGGTAAGTTAATTAGGTAAACAACGCTTTATTTTTTCTTAAGGGATGACTCACATATCATAAAAGATATATTTTTGGTATCATCTATCACCTAAAACATATTTTCAGATTTTTCAGATGCACACACACATACAGCACACCCACAGACATGCATAGAGAAAGAGGAAAGAAGGGAGGGGAGATCTTGATGAGAAGATGAGAACATATTTGTTTTTGTCAGATAGCTGGAGGAAGAATTCAGTCGATGTTAATGAGAGGCAATTAGTTTTGATTAAAAATGAGATTGCTCCCCTACATGCAATGTAGCCATATCAAAACAAAATAATGATTAATTTCTGTTGGTATAAGACATTATTGTCAACAGCAAAAGTACCCATGCAGCAATGATACAATTGCTCTGAGGCCGGAGAGAAGGAAAAACATTCATTTAGGGACTTGGCTGGATGTTCCTCTGGAGTTGCTCATAATAAAGTGTGTGGGTGCTTGCATGTATGTATGCACATATACAAGTGTGCCAGTGTGTGTAGAATATGTACACAAAATGTGTTTGCGTGGGAGGTTTCTGCATATGTTTAACTTTTTGTAATCATCCTGCCTACATTTTAAACTCTGGTTACACCTCATGTTTTTAATTTTATGTTATTATTTGTTTTATCTTTAATGCCCATGTAAGGCTAATTTTAATTATGCCCCCTGCTTGCATTTTTATCTATGTATTCGTTACATTACAGTCTTCTTCCACTTCTTTTTTCTTGTGTCAGTATCATCAGGATTCATATTGGCATCTGTGCTGTGTGCATACATAAGTAAAGGTGTGTGTGCATGTGTTTGTGATAAACTAACCTGTTTTTGTTATGTATCTGTGCTCACCTTCCCCAGCGTCCATTGTAATTGGGAAATGGTGGTGTGAGATGGAACCATGTCTGGAGGGAGAAGAGTGTAAGACTCTGCCTGACAACTCTGGATGGATGTGCTCCTCTGGGAACAAAATCAAGACCACAAGAGTGAGACCTCACACGTATTCACACGCACACTTAAGCACAAATGTTTGTACCTGCATGTACAGACCTACACTCGCAATTTACAGGCGCACACTTACATGTACAAGACACGCATATGCCTTTTCTGTATGTACTGTAAATGCACATTTAACACAAGCATTCATATACCTGCACACACATCCACACATGCACACGGGCACACTAATTTTCAAACACAATATGCCCAAATGCCAGACAGATTTCACTTTACTATTCAACCTCTCTCCCTGGACTGAAAAATCAAAAAGCTGTGTTTGGAAACTTTGATTAAACGCTTTAAGCTTCTCTGCCAACTGCCTGCCTCATTTTTAATTAATCTTTGTCATTTAACAATCAAACATGCAAAGTCTCAAACCTGTGGGTAAAAAAGGGTGTGCACTGCACAAATCACACTGTATAGAGAATACTCAGAAAGCACAGCACAGCTGTGCCCTCTGTATAACAAGGTGGAATCAGTTCGGTGTAAGCAACCCATCTAAAGGCCCATAGTAGTAAAGAACAAACATAAAGCAGGCAGTAAACAAACAGGTGGGCTCTGCCTCAGGCCACACTCCTCTCAGAGATAAAGTTAACGGGCACTCTGCTTCGCCACTGCCTCTCGGCTCTGTAAACTGACTCCGAATGCGGCATGCAAAAATAATGAAGGGAGTTAAGCCTTCGAAGCCAGCAGTCCAGCACTCTGTGACAGGTTGATCACCCGATTTGTATTCATTTAATTGACTCGCCCCCCCACCTGCTCGTGATCAGCAAACCCTCGTCTACTCTTAGTGCTTGGTGACAATGACTTAGAATAGAAGCAGAGACTAATGTGATGGTAGGGAAAGAGGGAACAGCCAGTGAAGGTTAGACCACACGGGGCTTCCCAAGGTTGTTCTGCTGATTTATATGCCAACAGATAGACATAAAGCTTTCACTGGGCCCCTTCACAGCCACCACAGGCCCAAAAGTTTCAGAAAGAAGTTGATCGAACGGGGCCTTACCATCCTGTCAAGGTAAGGCATAGTGCTTGGTTCACTTTAAAGAATGCATCTCTAATTCTCAATTATGTCCTTTGCACAATTTCAGATAACTAAACTTAAAATCATGATTGTCTTTATATAAAATGGAACATATCATATTTTATTTAATCTCTTGAGATACATTAATCAAGATTGTACACTTATGCACACAAATGGAAAATGAGCATTAATACATATTTATGAGTAAAATGGCTTAGGTAAACTATTATCAGAGCCTTAAGGGAAGAGGGCCAAAAAGACAGGCCCAAAGCTGCTTTTCTACCCAATACACACGTGTCCTTTTTTCTTGACCCTCTCTTTGCAGAACACCCAGCCATACTCCCCTTTTTAGCTTCCGGAAGCAAAATGCAGAGGATGCGTCAACAGAAATTGAGCTGCATTCTTGCTTCTGTAAAGGTTAGTCTTTTTCTCAAGCTGTTGTTTGTTTTTGTTTTCCCGTCTCTCTCTCTCTCACACACACACACATCACTGTAATGCACTTGAGTGTTGGGCGGTAGGAGTGGGGCCAACTCATGTTCAATGACTTCTCATTAACCCAAATACTCAGTGCAAAATAATCAAGTGTGTGTTTACATGCTGTGCATGATTAGGCAGGCGTGACACAAATACTGAACGCATCGCCACCCACTGTAAATATTTATCACCCAGCACAGGCAGTGCACGCATAAATAGAAAGTAAGTTGCTGCATTTTCCTCTAAACGGTGGCACATGTATCACGAAAATGTATCAGTCAGTACGTAGATGGGTAAAGGCGCTAAAACACTGCAGCAGCTCGCTCACAGAGTTCTGTAGAAACACACACACACAGAGTCAGGTCCACCCCTTAGCAGAGCCCTACTGTCTGTGAACAGTGTGTAATGGCAGGATCAGTCCCTCTTCCTTTCATTGCCTCCTTTGTTCCATGTCCTGTTTTTGCTATCGGCCACTGTGTGGGTTTGATTACAGTGCCTTACACTGCTCTGCCAATCCCATTAGTCACTAATCTGTGACATGCTACTTGCTCCTCTCTGTGTGTGCTCCTAGTTGTGTATGAACGCACATGTTTTGATGTGTTTGATATGTCTGTGTTTGTGTGTGTACACTCACATGTGTGCACGAGACCCACAGGCAAAGCCTCTTCCCTTTTCGTTGTGTGGCTTCTTATCAGAGGCCACTTGATATCCTGATCCCCCTCCGAGGGTCTTGTTGAAACAGCTATCAGCACACAGCATAGCCCACAGGCTACATGAAAGGCCTTTTATCCTGCACTCTGCTCTTTTTTAATCAACATTCCTCATTCACCTGCCTCTCAGGCCAAATTGACTCATTTGTGTTTGCACCGTAACTAACCAGTAAGCCCACAACATGGCATTGTTATTTTTTTCTTTTTGGAATTCTCAGCTATGTTATTTCACCTGCTGGTTTTCATTTTGCTCTGAAAAGTGTCAGTGAAGCACGATGAGGCACACACACACAAACACACACCTTGTTCACCTGCACACAGACTTCATCACTATCTTTCATTAAAACAAATTGGCATGAAAAGTAAGAAGCCAAGCAAAGCCAGTGCCTGACATCCATGTTTCTTCTTTTCTTTCTTTATGTCTTTCAGAGAGGGAGCCCTTCATTGCCTGTTCTGTAGCAGCAGACAAGGCAGGCCCTTTTGTTTGTGGAAGTCACAGTGAGAGCAAGGCTGGGGGAGAACCTTCCAAAACACTCGCCCACCATAGATCTGCATTACCCGCTCCACTCGCTAAATAGATCAAGCCATTTTCTGCTCCCTCCAAAACAATTATACACCTTAAGAGAGACAGGCAGAATGAGAGAGGCTGTAATGAAAACATATTTTCTCCCACTCGTTCTTCTTCCCTGCTTTTGATAATAGTGAAAAGAATCACGTTCATTTGATAACCTCACTGTAAGTGTCCTAGATTGAATATGAATTTGTCATCAGTATTAAGGCAAGAATGTCATACATACGTAATACAAGCCTCATCTGCCATTCAATGAATTTTATTGACTTATTTAGTCATTTCACACTTCAACATAACCACTTATGTAAAGAAGTTGTTTTAACTGTTAAAGGCATCAGCGTTTCCACTATGGGGTATGTAATGGTTAAGATTAGTGAGTGCTAAGTGCTCAAGTGGATACACGAACATCTTTCACACTTTACAGTGTGCGCTATTAAAAGAAGCAGACAGCACTATTTCAAGCAAAATAACACACTGTGACAGGATGTAGCCCATCTGTGAGACAGTTTCAGAGCAAAAGTGACCTGCCAGCAGATGCATCACCATCTAATTTGTCAAATCGGGAGGCCGCACTCTGCAGTTGATAAAAATGAACTCCAAGCGGCCATGCCACATACAGTTCAACTTCACAGAGAAATCATCTGTTCCACCACTGAGCTTGACAACACTTCTCCTCCTCCTTCAGTCCTGAATAATGTCATCATGAAAACAAACACACAATCATACACATACAGCGTATTTAACAGTGTTTCATTTCAGATTAATAATCAAATACTTGTTTGAAAAGTATGAGGTTATAAACTGACAGATGCAATCCGAGCTGCCAAGAATGACCAGATTGTTGACATTTTTATTATACAGGTTTAGGGTGGAGGAGTTCATTCCAAGTGCTACTGATTAATTTATATCCATTTTCTTTGCTTTTTCCATTGTCAATGTCACATTAAATGGATCTTGATGTATTTTGTTGTCTGGAGTCTTCTGTTTTTAGAGGGTGCTCTTTAGTGCTGTTTGAAGAGGTTTCTGAGCTGGCATGATTGATTTGTTCAGCACTAAACGAGAAAGGGGGAAAGGGTAGGCTGTGTTTGCACTAAATTCTTTTGCTAAGGCAATTGTCCTTGGCTCCTTTTACTAACTGAAGTCTGAGTAAATTGCAATTTAATGCGGCCAGCAAATTAGAATGCAGACAGCTTAGTTGCCAGCAAAGATGGGAGAGGCAGGAAATCCTTAAGCAATCCGCTGCTACCTGCTGTATTTTTCATTTGAAGAGACAGAGGACAAAAAAGAACAGAGGACACTTTTAGTCACACACACATGCATGTGGGTTGAAATGACAGTATTTGCATACAACCCCTGTTCTCCCACTAACAAACCTCTGGTGGATTGTGTCTAAGATAGAGAGTGAGCCGTAAAATGTGTAACCTGTTACTGCTCTTGCTCTGGCAGAGGTCATTCTCTGCTCCAACATTTTGATATGTCGTCGTACAATAGATGATACGGATGCAAATGCTGGACAGATGAGCCCAGAGGATTAAGGATCATGGGGAAAAAGGATCAAATCTGTACAAAGAAAGACACTGTGACAAGACCTGGAGGAGGAATCAACATGAAAAAAATTGAGAATTAGAATGTATTCAGAGCCCACAGAGGAACAGCTGCAATGCAATTACCCAAATAGGCATGATGTAGTCAGCAAGGGAGGATACATCTGAGCTACTAAATGTTTCCTTAACATGGGGCTTTGCGACAGCTTATCTGACATCTGTTTTAACACGTTAAAAAAAATATATATTTTAAAAAAGTCATCCAATGGGGTTCTACTTCTATCTTTTGATGCTTCCCGTGTTTCAGGGACTCTCTGGCATCAGTATCTTCAAACAGACCTTCGCTAGAAAATACTCAGCAGATTCCTTTGAAAAGGCTGTGCAATGTGAATTTGTTATTTTAGTTTAGTTTAAATGTTATTACTAATCTGCATCTGGATCTGATTCGAAATACAATAATTACTAATTTTATTCTTTTAGGTATCAAAATGTATATTAATCTTTTTCTAGATACTAAGGGTTCTGCTAACTAACTAACAAACACTAATAGGACTGTAAACAGTAAGTTGATTTCACACATTCACCCCATTGGCAGAGTTTTGCTAAATGACTTGCTAAGATGAAGATGTTTGTACTCTATCAATTTATTCTTTAAAATCAACTACTGCCTACCAACAATATAACTGCAATGCATTATGTTTTCAGACATACTCAATGATGTTGATGCTAAATTATAGCCAAATTATAACGCCTGAGAGTCTCCTCCTCTGATTTGTTCTCTGAATCTCAAAATAACACACAAGAGAGTAGGTGAATACAGGTGCACATAATTATACCCTCAGAAAATGGTTAATAAAATCATTTGGCTAGCATGTCCGACACATTGGAGCTTTGAGACTCTCTGTGTAATACATTTCACAGAGTCCCAAGCAGCCCCCTCCACAATCAAATCCACACACCTGGCTACCACCTGCCAAGCCTCCTGGAAATGTCATGACTGTATTTCTTAGTTGAACAGGATTATGGGGTTTCTAATTGGCCCCACGGTGTGCAGGCGACTTGAGGTTTCTTCTCTGTACAATCTTAACAATCAGTGAAATAACTGAAAAATGTGATGAAAGTGAGGTAAAGAAATATTCTGGAAAACATGCTTTTGCTGCACAGACAGTCATAAGAGGGCAAGGAACCCAACTGCTTTAACTGTGGTAGACATCATGCACACAGTTTTTATTGAGCTTCAGGTTGAGTAGGATGCTGAAAAGCAGGACATTCAATAGCAGTCTCAAGGTTGCACAATGTACCATTGAAATGTGTCCAGGTCTGCAACTGAGGCTGAATAAGAGTCCCTGAACCAGAGTCACGGAGAGACAGCTCAGACTCCACAGCGGGTGCCCTGATCCCATTTAGCAATGCCAAAGTCATTTTATCGGGTTGGAGGAAAATGCTCAGTTATGATTGGCTGGCTTGGTATGAAGGTGCAAACCGGGGGGGTTGGGCAAAGGGATGTGGCTAAAACGGTCTGAGATAAAGTCAAAAATATGCCAGAGTGTCAATTTGTGAAGCAGACATACACAGCATGGAAACACACCATGATATTTCTGTACAAAGAGCTTTCCTGATATATCCCAGTATAGTCTACCTATAAATGCCAAACACACCTCAATTTTCAGCGCTGTTTCCACTCGTATAAGCTGTCTGTTTTTAGTAGCAGCAGGAACCAGGAGGTGAGACAGGGCTGTACAAAGCCTCCACAGTTCAAAAGCCTCCCCTTGTTTTTGAAACACGAACGGAGCAATTCCTCTGGGTCTAATCCTCGCACACTTGTATGCCTTTGTTCTATCTAAGTGTATGTGTGTTTTCTCTCCTCTCCTCTTCCTCCTCTGTGTTGCAGATTCATCCCAGGACCTAACAGAGAGCTCCCATCGCAGGGCTGCGTGCCAGGCTCTTCCCCTCATCTACCCTTTCTCTTCCCACCGAACGGACTAAAACTATTACATCCACGGCTACTGACTGGATTACCTGCGACCACAGAAAGGATATCCACCCAGATAAAACAGCTTTGCTCGTGTGGTGCCAAGGATTTGAAACCAGACTAATCCTCTGTTTGATCAATGAGCCTCATGTTGGTGACTCTCTTCTTCCACACAGCTGTGGCCAGTTTCCGACCTACTCTCTCTCTGTTTCCCTCACTCCGTCTCCCCCCTCAAAAACTGAAAACAGCTTAGCAGGGGTTATTTAGAGGTTGTTAAAACATTATTTGATAGACATTCGCCCCCTGCCTGAAGGTAAATCAGTTGAGGAGCTTACATGGACCCGAACATAAATGCGGAACTGAGGGCACAAGGAAGGAAATTACCTTGATATGCCTTTATTTCCGTGTTGAAGGCATTTGTATTTGACTCGCTACCCCAGCAGGACAGCCTTGCTGTGACTACACAGAGAAGATTTGGTTTAAAAACACTGGATTTTCTGTGACCAAGGCCACTAGCAGCCTATAATGAGTTAATGAAGAATCTTTGAGAGGCTTTACGGTCCGTCCTCATGGCCTCGCTTTCATCCTTCATGATGGACATTTTGACTTTGTTCGAGGGCATGCCCGATGTAAATTCATGAGCACCTCTTTTATGTGTATGTAAGATAATTTGTGTATATATACATATATAAATACATAACATATAAGATGACAGATCCAAGAAGCTGAAAAATATATTTAAGACTCTATTAGGCACTAAAGCCCCGTGGTGGAATATTGATCAGCCACTGAATATAAGTACAGTTCATACTTATCCAGAGGCTGTTGTCCTAATATGGTGTGTGTGTGTATAGGACTGCTTTGCAGTGTATGCTTGCATTGGAAAAAGCCACAACAGAGTCATAAAAATAAGTATTGGTCACTTTTCGTCATTCAGCAATGTCCTTGGTTAAGCCAGAAAATGCTTGTAGTTTCTGTAAAGATGAGGAAAACACTGTATAGAACTGCCTCACAAAAGAAAGCAGCACTAACAACCACCCCTGAGCTTTTCACTGGGATACAGTAGGGACATGGAACAGTAGCAGAAAGACTCGGACCATAATCGGACAGTTAGTCACGGGCGACTGCTTGACTGTGTTTCTTGTGTAGATCTCCCTCTCACACACTAGAGAGAGGTGATTTATTCAAAATGACAGTGAGAACGTATTAGTCACAATGGAGAAGCATACAGTTATCCCCCAGTAGATAAAAGTACATTACAGGACAGCCTTATGAGAAATAAAAATGATTTTCTATACTGATATGCTGTCTCTCATTCCTTCATATGGTAACGGATATTTTGAAAAATGTTCCTCTTATGACAATTTGATATGTTGTAATATGTGGGTGGAAGATCTTGTCAGAGTTTCATTTATGTGATATGTTAACACTGTGAAGTTTTTTGCTTGAGTAAACAAGCAATCAACAACAGCATAAGGCAATGTGAAAATGACTTACGGGCAGACAAAAACACACACACACACGCAGTAAACACACAAACAAATGTGTGACGCTTCATTTATACAATTCCCTTGGTGGCAGAGAGGATTTATCAGAACAGCACATTCAATTCATTCATGCAATTAGAATAAAGATTTCCAATATCGTGCCAGGCAAAATTCCAGATGATTTTCAATATCAACCTTCTCTCTCAGCTGATATGAGATTTGTTTCTTCTCCCAGCGGACGCACTAGTGTACATTCATCATTTAGGAATTTGGCTGGTTTCATGGAGCCCGGCGCCTCGCTGAGCAGTCACAGAAGGTATGAAAAAGACAGACACATCAATCTCCCAGTGGTCTTGCCAGAATCATGAAGAAATATGCAAAGGGAGAGGGAGCAAGAGCGTGTTTTTTCCTCCTCAATGAGCCGTTCCCTTCTTTGTTTTCTCATATCTAATAGGATTCACCGTCCTGCAGTCTTATTGAGCTTGTGCAAAAGAAAATGAGTCGGGGAATGAGTTTGTGTACAAAAGTGTCTCTGGGTGCTTTTCTGTTGCTGTAAATGAATACATGTGAGTGTATGTGTGCATTTGTCTGTTTTGCCAGGCTTCTGTGTGTATTTTTAGAGAGGGTAACCAGAGTCTGTGAGACAGGCATCCCGCAACGACGCACTACAGATTATCCTCAAATTCAGTGCTTGTGTAGAAAATCAAGGGATTTCTCCCTCCCTACTTAGGCAAGTTCTAAGTGGGTTTTTGCTTAAAAGGTGCTTGGGGATCAGAAATGCAAGAGGTGCTTTTTCTTATTCTCCTTCATGCACTCCTTAGTTCTATCCAGAAAATGATGGAGTCGTGCTGTGTAGGGAGGTCCTGCTCCATTTTAGGCAGAGCAGAAAGGAACACAGCATGAATTGATAACAGGGGCTGGGTCCTCCTCCCTCTCTGCGGTGCTGCGCAATCTCAAAAGAGAGACATCCATCAAGTCCTGCCGACCTCCCACAGAGACACAGAGACAGCCATGTCCACATCACGCTGGACGGCTAATCAACGCCTGACAGCAAGGACAACCTTTTTCATACAGCCAAGACGTGTGCAGAACATGCCAGATAGTGTTGTTTATAAAACTTGCATTAGTAACTTCCAAGGGTATCTGAAGTAAAACACAAACTTTTGCACTGCGTAGAAGTTAAATGCTTTTAGGAGCCTCCACTCCTCTTGGACATTACTTCTTGTCTTTGCACTTTATCACATTCATATTCTTTAATAATATTGCATAGCAACCTATCATTTTTGTAAAGGGCACACTCTTTACCTGTGGGGGCCTTGTGGTCCATAATTATAGTCATTATGGTCATGAGTCACTGTAAATGTCGCCTTTTCAATTAACATCCACTGGAGCTGGACAACTAGGAGCATCTCAAAATAATTAATGACACTAAAACTTAAAGTCTCAATGATAGTTTTTTGTGACTTTATATGAAAAGTAATGATAACAGACAGTCTTTTGTCGATTCTTGAATAACTGTTTTCATCACTGGACATAAGAAATGGGAACATACACAATTAATGTTGAAGAGGGTGTAATTCTTTTCAAGACCATATCATCATCCTCCATAAAGATCAAAAGGTTTATAGAAAGCAATTACACTTTTTTGAAAGTGTGAAACTAAACAGCAAACAACACAGTGAAACACACCAGCACTCCACTGCAACGCCATTGTTCGCAAGAAATGAACACACACTCTGATGGGTAGACAATACATCACTGTCATAGTCCCATGACACTGCGCCATGCCCGCCAACCACCAATACACTTGTCAGCGAAATGACTTGCCAGTCTATGATTGTCAGCAGCTGCCATAATGACAAATTATTTATCTGCTGCTTTACCGTTTTCCTCACCTTATTTCCCCTTGTGTTTCCACCCAAAAGTGTAGCTACTGGCCCCCACCAGGGGCACCAATATCCTCACAGACCAGCCTCCCTGAGAGACTTCAAGCGTTACACTTCCCCATTAAAGAGAAAGCATTTTTTCATGGCATTGTGTCTACACAGCTGGGCAGACGTCGACACAAAGGCTCTCAATTGTTTGCTACTTGAGATTGAATGACCGAGAGCTGGATTTGAAAAAGAGAGAGATCAGGTAGAGAAGGAGCAAATACATTGTTCTGTGCCTGAGGGGAGTACAAGCATGGTGTGTATATTTATATAAGTCACACAGATTTAGTGAAGTCTTATTCCAGTCTCCAATTATACATCAAACACATTATAGTAATGTATTGTAGGGTAATGCAGAAATGTATTGAAAGACTCTTTCAGTCATTTGTTTTCATGACCTTTTCCTGGGGGAACGCAGGGGATGCAGAAAGGCCTCTGGTCGCTACACAGTCACACAACAGGATGAGGACACACAGCACACCTTGCAGGCTTAATAAACACATTTCTATTCACATATGAAAACAAAGAATTGCAGGTTTTTTTCAATATATACTGACTGACCATAAAATAAAAATCACAATGCAATGCAATACAATGCAATAGAAATTCACCTTTGTGCCCTAGTGTTGCATTAGGTTACATCATCACGTTTTGTTAGTTTTTTTGCTCTGGCCACTGGTTGTATTAATTTAGCTATCTATTTATCTAGATATCAGTATATCAGTCAGATATTGTTCTTTCAAATTATGTTTAGAATATGATCTTGCAAATAAATGAAAAAATACTTATTAGTATATGTGCACTGATAAGTATGTTAAAAATAACACTATATAAAATGTTTATAATAAGCAGGAACAGATTGTACAGGCATTTTCTTAAGTGGAGGTCAGATGAAATTTCATGTTGTCTGTCCAAGTTTGTATGGAGAGTTCACAACAACAGCTGGCCTTCAGGCTGCCTGCCAGAGACAAAGCACTGTGCTGTCAGTCCAAACCTGCCCACACACACATAGGCTGCAGTGAACTTAAAGTTTGGATGATGGAAAGGAAAACTAGAGCATTTGTATTGCCTACACACCAACTGAAAAGTTTTGCCATGTCACTGGGTTCATCTCTCTTTCACTCTCTGTTAAGTGACCTGTGTTTCTTAATCGATTTCATTCTGAAATGTGAGTACATTTTTAACCAGTAATGCTGCTTAATAACACCTTCAATATAAATTTTTAACAGGTCACATTATTCTTGATGTCAATCTGATGACTCTCACTTAATTGCCATGACTGCTTTGAGAATTTTTGACCTACTTAAAAAAAGAACACTATAAAACTCATATAATTCTGCAAAGGTAAACAACTCTAACCTTTTTGATACAAGAAGTGTTAAGATTAGACATTCACCGTAACAGTTTTTATGTTCATAAAATTCATTACCAGCTCTGTCTCTACATTACTCCTCAAGGACTTAACTCACTAAAAGTCCTTTACATTCTGTTGCCTTTGAAACTGAATCACTGTCAATTGTCATTAAATTATATCATGAAACAGAAAGCATGAAACTATAATGACAGAAATGCATAGATATCTTTACATTAACATTTTAAAAACTCACTACAATTACACAGAAAAACAATTAAAACAATCCAAAAACTATAGACACCATTTTGGGTAATTACATAGTAAAGAAATAAGCAACAAATAACAGTCAGTAAAATCAATATAATGACCAGCTGTATTGGTAGAATTAGCAGTAATTACTGTAGTAATTATTGGGTAATTACAGAGTAAAATGAAAACAAAATAAAGACATTTGGTTGGTAACTAATTGTTAAAGTGAGTGGTATAGCCCACATACAGGGTAAGACAGATGGTCGCTTTTGTGTAGACTGCCATAGAGGCTAACATATTACTTTGGTAGTATTTAGCATTAACTGTCAGCATGCCAATATTATGCAGCATCCATGACACAACTAACCATAATGTATTTGTAATTTTCAGTCTTACCTTCTGATAAGCCCAGAAAGTGGCAGCCACTGTCTACAACAGTTGTTTCCCAGAAGTGAATGGTAGATGTGGCAACTGCTGGAAATGTCATTGTAGTTAACCCATAATTACCTTTCCACTGCCTGTAAAGTGTAGTGTGCATTGTTTCTTTGAAACATATGGGTGGTTTCAACATAAGTAAGGGCATGGTAATAAGAACTTTTGCTGTAATTACTTTGCCATCTTTAATTTCCCCGTCTTTAAAGTGTACAGTAGCCTGCCAGTAACCCATTTGGATGAAATATGCAAATACTTTCCAAATACTGAACAAAGACATGGTAGGTACCATGACATGTCACTGTCATTACATTTCCACTGCCTGTAAAGTGTAGTGTGAACTCTTCTTTGGGAACATACAGCTAATTTCCATATGACAGAGGCCAGCATGGCAGTATCAAGATAATTACCTTTCACATTGGATATCAAGTGTATAACATTTCCTTGAAATTGTTTCATAGTTTCCACATAACCAATGAAGGTGTTGTTTTCGTTCACCCTAATTAAGCCTATTACAAATAAAGAGACAAAATGGATTTCAAGTATGTGAATAAAAAACTGTTATTGTCATAACTTAATTTCACATACTAATATTCCCATGCCTGGGAAGAAAATAAAAACCATATAGCTGTTTTCTACTCTTTTAATACTTTCCTGCTTATAACATTTGTACATTCACAAACAGGTTAAATAAAATTGAAGGGTTAACCTGTTTGGAAACACTATTTTAAATCCAAATGTTGTGACATTTGGCAAATGGAAGTTAAAAAATCTAACTTGTTGTTTCTCTCTCTCATGCCAGA